ATCCCCCACACAGATATATAGAATATAATATAATGTATGGCCAAGGAACCCTCCCCATCCCCCACACAGATATATAGAATATAATGTATGGCCAAGGATCCCTCCCCATCCCCCACACAGATATATAGAATATAATGTATGGCCAAGGGTCCCTCCCCCATCCCCCACACAGATATATAGAATATAATATAATGTATGGCCAAGGATCCCTCCCCATCCACCTCACAGATATATAGAATATAATGTATGGCCAAGGATCCCTCCCCATCCCCCACACAGATATATAGAATATAATATAATGTATGGCCAAGGATCCCTCCCCATCCACCACACAGATATATAGAATATAATATAATGTATGGCCAAGGATCCCTCCCCATCCCCCACACAGATATATAGAATATAATATAATGTATGGCCAAGGGTCCCTCCCCATCCCCCACACAGATATATAGAATATAATATAATGTATGGCCAAGGATCCCTCCCCATCCCCCACACAGATATATAGAATAGAATATAATATATGGCCAAGGATCCCTCCCCATCCCCCACACAGATATATAGAATATAATATAATGTATGGCCAAGGATCCCTCCCCATCCACCACACAGATATATAGAATATAATATAATGTATGGCCAAGGGTCCCTCCCCATCCACCACACAGATATATATAATATAATATAATGTATGGCCAAGGGTCCCTCCCCATCCCCCACACAGATATATAGAATATAATATAATGTATGGCCAAGGGTCCCTCCCCATCCACCACACAGATATATAGAATATAATATAATGTATGGCCAAGGATCCCTCCCCATCCACCACACAGATATATAGAATATAATATAATGTATGGCCAAGGATCCCTCCCCATCCACCACACAGATATATATAATATAATATAATGTATGGCCAAGGGTCCCTCCCCATCCACCACACAGATATATATAATATAATGTATGGCCAAGGATCCCTCCCCATCCACCACACAGATATATATAATATAATATAATGTATGGCCAGGATCCTCCCATCCCCCACACAGATATATAGAATATAATATAATGTATGGCCAAGGGTCCCTCCCCATCCACCACACAGATATATAGATTATAATATAATGTATGGCCAAGGATCCCTCCCCATCCCCCACACAGATATATAGAATATAATATAATGTATGGCCAAGGGTCCCTCCCCATCCCCCACACAGATATATAGAATATAATATAATGTATGGCCAAGGATCCCTCCCCATCCCCCACACAGATATATAGAATATAATATAATGTATGGCCAAGGATCCCTCCCCATCCCCCACACAGATATATAGAATATAATATAATGTATGGCCAAGGATCCCTCCCCATCCCCCACACAGATATATAGAATATAATATAATGTATGGCCAAGGGTCCCTCCCCATCCCCCACACAGATATATAGAATATAATATAATGTATGGCCAAGGGTCCCTCCCCATCCCCCACACAGATATATAGAATATAATATAATGTATGGCCAAGGATCCCTCCCCATCCCCCACACAGATATATAGAATATAATATAATGTATGGCCAAGGATCCCTCCCCATCCCCCACACAGATATATAGAATATAATATAATGTATGGCCAAGGGTCCCTCCCCATCCCCCACACAGATATATAGAATATAATATAATGTATGGCCAAGGGTCCCTCCCCATCCCCCACACAGATATATAGAATATAATATAATGTATGGCCAAGGATCCCTCCCCATCCCCCACACAGATATATAGAATATAATATAATGTATGGCCAAGGATCCCTCCCCATCCCCCACACAGATATATAGAATATAATATAATGTATGGCCAAGGATCCCTCCCCATCCCCCACACAGATATATAGAATGTAATATAATGTATGGCCAAGGATCTCTCCCCATCCTCCACACAGATATATAGAATATAATATAATGTATGGCCAAGGATCCCTCCCCATCCACCACACTGATATATAGAATATAATATAATGTATCGCCAAGGATCCCTCCCCATCCCCCACACAGATATATAGAATATAATATAATGTATGGCCAAGGATCCCTCCCCATCCCCCAGACAGATATATATAGAATATAATATAATGTATGGCCAAGGGTCCCTCCCCATCCCCACACAGATATATATAGAATATAATATAATGTATCGCCAAGGATCCCTCCCCATCCCCCACACAGATATATAGAATATAATATAATGTATGGCCAAGGATCCCTCCCCATCCCCCACACAGATATATAGAATATAATATAATGTATGGCCAAAGGATCCCTCCCCATCCCCCACACAGATATATAGAATAGAATATAATGTATGGCCAAGGATCCCTCCCCATCCTCCACACAGATATATAGAATAGAATATAATGTATGGCCAAGGGTCCCCCCCATCCCCCACACAGATATATAGAATATAATATAATGTATGGCCAAGGATCCTTCCCCATCCCCCACACAGATATATAGAATATAATATAATGTATGGCCAAGGGTCCCTCCCCATCCACCACACAGATATATAGAATATAATGTATGGCCAAGGGTCCCTCCCCATCCCCCACACAGATATATAGAATATAATATAATGTATGGCCAAGGATCCCTCCCCATCCCCCACACAGATATATAGAATATAATATAATGTATGGCCAAGGGTCCCTCCCCATCCCCCACACAGATATATAGAATATAATATAATGTATGGCCAAGGGTCCCTCCCCATCCACCACACAGATATATAGAATATAATATAATGTATGGCCAAGGATCCCTCCCCATCCCCCACACAGATATATAGAATATAATGTATGGCCAAGGGTCCCTCCCCATCCCCCACACAGATATATAGAATATATAATGTATGGCCAAGGGTCCCTCCCCATCCCCCACACAGATATATAGAATATAATATAATGTATGGCCAAGGATCCCTCCCCATCCACCACACAGATATAGTCATGGATAGGGACAAACCATTAGTTAATTTAATGGCTAACAAGTATTCTGCGTGATTGCAAGTTATTTATGCACTAAGGTGTGTGTGTGTGTGTGTTTGTTTGTTTGTTTTTTCCTGGAGGACTAATTGCCAGCCTCCTGCCTTGTGATCATGGCCCCTGGGATATATTGCCTGTTAAATACTCTATTTTAGCAGATTTGCTTTAAAGACCCTTTCTGCCACTTTAAATTATCACAGTAGCTCTGCAACTTTAAATTGGCACTTTGTGTACAGTCGAAGTGGCTGCCATTCGACAACCGAACAAGTGGCGGTGGCAATTTTAATTCATTCTAACGCAGTCAGCTGTGTTTTTTTGCCATCTAGTTCATGGAACTAAAATCGGATACTCGACGGCACGAACACTGCTGACATATTACCTTCACTGGAACGAACTCGTTCGACAATGCGAATTGTTGCCGTTCGCTTATTTGAACTATGTTTAACATGGGAAATAGACCGACCACACAGCCTGATTCTTTGGAACTGTTTTGGGCATGAAAATGTGCGGTTGGTCAAAATATGACTTCCATTCAACTCCTGAAAAGATTCGAATGCTTTTTGGATATGTTCGTCTCTTAATTATGCTGATTCAGAAAATGTAAAGCGTATTAATTTTGGATGTGTAATCGTGAAATTTTAAAAGTTATATAAGTGTGTTTCGCTTGGAGATAATTGAGTTAATCCAGCAATTAAACTCTATTATTTCCCAAGCAGAGGGGAGGAATTTGCTGTAATGAATGGGAGTGTTTTTACCATGTGTCTGTAAATAATTGGTTGTTGAATTTATGTTGTCAGCGTCCCACAAGGTCCACGTGGGTGGTAACTTGTAATAAAGAAGCAATAAAGCCTCAGTGCATTCAGATCTTCTTACCCTCAACTTGTAGCCTTGTCTCTTGTTGTAGGAACCAGCTATATCACTGCTAGCTCTTTTAAGAGCTCTTTTCAGCTATACTCTCTTGTAGGAGAGCGCCTTTCCACATGCTCCTGGATCCAGAGGTTGGAGTCTCAGGGTGGGAAGGAGACGAGATCCCAACCAAGCTGCGGCTGTTCGTGGTGTCATGTGTGGTGCTGATGGTCCTTGAGCAGTGCTTGGAGTATACTTCGACGGAGGTGGTCCGTCACACACAATATATATTTCTCATAAATATCTGATATAATTGATATTTATATAAATCATCTTTTTCCAACACTTGTAAGCATCCATCCAGCTGGCAATCGCAGAGATGGATCAGGAGTGGACAGATATATTTGCTTGTCATACACATAGAAATGATATTGGAAGCCAAAGAAGCTGATCATTTTGCCACGGGAGGCAATAGGAGGGAGAACAGTAGGGGACCAAGGACCGAACCTTGAGGAATGCCAACAGAGAACAATTGGCGAGAAGTGGCAGAGCCAGACAAAGCACTGGGAGAGGTAGGAAGAGCACCAGGATAGGTGTATCTTGTACACCAATTACGGAGGGTGAGAACAAGTTGTTGATGATCAGCAGTGTCAAAAGCATCAGCAAGGTCAGGGAGAATTGGGATATAGTGGCCATGGGATCTTGCAGTGGTTTCATTGGATACTTTGGTCACAGCTGTTTCAAGTGACGAACGCAAATCCAGACTGAAGCGGGTCAAGCGGAGAGTTAGATTCGAGAGTCTCTCAATCATGCATACACAACTCTCTCATGAATCTTGGAGGCAAACGGCAGTAGTTAAATGGGGAGTTGGGGTCAAGGTTGGATTGCTCGATCTTTATTTATTTTTTTATTTTTTTTAAATCGGTGTTGCATGTTTTGAAGAGTGAGGGGAATGTGCCAGAGGAGAAGAAAATCTGAATGAAAGTGAACTAGGAGTTTGTGTTGGCAGCACATTGTGGTTTTGACTGTGTTGAAGTAATTTACTTTTGCAGAGGAAAGATCCAAGCTGTAGGAGCCCAGCATGAATTTATAGTGGATAAAATCAGATGCAGAGTGAGACTTTCTCCAGCAGTGTTCAGCTGATATATACGTGTGTCCCCTCCCCATGTAGAATGTATCTCTCTGTATACGGAGTGTCCTTGTATAACTTGGATTTAATAAGAATGGTATGTCTCTCTGCATTTTTTCCCGGTCTCCAAAAAAATCTCAAGTACTGAGAGCGGTTTAAAGCATCTTGCTTCATTTATTGTTCAGTGTTACAATGTAAAGATCAGTACTCGGACTATATTTCTCACCTTTGCTCACATTTCCTTCTGTGTGTGTGACTGGATTATCATGTGTTTTGAGTAAACAAGACTTTGCTTAACGCCGTTACGGCGTTCTATGCCGTCGCGGCTTTAAAGGGCTTTTAAGCCGCGGCGGCGGCGATCCCCTTCTGGAGGGCTGCCTCACAGCCCAGACAGCCCTCCCCCGGCAAATGTGGCCCCCTATAGCTGGCTGTGGATTTGCCAGCAAGGGGGCTGTCTGAAATGTCAGTCCCCCTGCTCGTGGAAAGTATATATAAAAAAAAAAAAATAAGAACATTTTTAAAAGTATTTTTGTGTATTTTAATACTAATATATATAAATATTAAAATACACTTAGAATGACGTTACACATATATACACATATTATATATACGTATAATTACAATAATAAAATATTGAAACGAAATGTAATATAAACTATATATTCATATGTAATTTCATTCTAACTGTATTTTGATATATGTAACAAAATACACTTAGAATGACATTCTGTATATAAAATACAAATAACCGCATATATATTTACATAAAAGATTACATTAGTATACACGTTGAATTTACCTATAAATGCATATATATTAAAAATCTACGTGTATATTTAAGTAATCTTTTAACATAATTATGTGATTTGATTGACATGCCTGACAACACATTGAGAAAGTGCAGAGAATTTAATTTGCAAGCACTATATTTGACCCTGTAACTCTCCAAGACACCATAAAACCTGTACCTGTGGTTACTGTTTTACTCGGTAGACTTTGCTGAACTCAAAAAATAGTGTTTAAAACTGGTAAATTGTATTACAACAATGATATTTTAAGTAAAAGTTAAAATTTTTTTTTTTTTTTTAAACTGCACTTTTATGGACTATATTATTGTTGTAATATGTTTTACTGTTTTAAAGCACTATTTGTTTAGTGAAGTCTCCCGAGAATAACCGCCCATGTACAGGTTTTATGGTGTTTTGGAAAGTTAGAGAGTCACATATAAGGCTTGCTTTTCATTTTTTTTTTTTTTTTTTACATTGAAATTTGCCAGATTGGTTATGTTGCCTTTGAGAGCGTATGGTAGCCCAGGAATGAGAATTACCCCCATGATGGCATACCATTTGCAAAAGTAGACAACCCGACGTATTGCAAGTGTGGTATGTCCAGTCTTTCTTAGTAGCCACTTAGTCACAAACACTGGCCAAATATTAGTTTTTTGCTTTTTTTTCACACACAAAAATAAATATGAACGCTATCTTTGGCTAGTGTTTGTGTCTAAGTGGCTACTAAAAAAGACTAACCATACCCCACTTTCAATACCTTGGCTTGTCTACTTTTTCAAATGGTATGCCATTATGGGGGTAATTCTCATTCCTGGGCTACCACAGTCTCAAAGGTAACATTACTAATCTGGCAAATTTCAATTTGAAAATGCAACTTTCTATATTTGACCCTGTAACGTTCCAAAAAACCATAAAACATGTTAATGGGGGGGTACTGTTGTACTCGTGAGACATCGCTGATTACAAATTTTTTTTTTTTTTTTTTTTTTGTGTGCAGTAAAACCTAACTGTAAATTTCATAATACTGTTAAAATGTGAGGCGGAACTACAAATTTAAAAAAAATGTAACTTCTCAGTTTTATTTTTATTTTATTCGTAATTGTTTCATAGCTAAATGTTTGATATGAAAGCCCTCTTTCTCCTGAACAAAATTATATATGTGTGGGTGCATTTAATATGAAAGAGGTGAATAACGGTTGAACAGACAGTGCAAATTCCAGTTTTTGTTTTGATCAGAACGTGCACTATTGACTCAGTCCTGAAGGGGTTAATCAAGAATTCCATAATCCAGTGACATTGTTACCATATCTTTTGCTCACTCTCCTCTAGATGGAAGGCAGGAGCGTGTTATGTTTGATAAAATCACATCCAGAATCCAGAAGCTATGCTACGGGCTCAATGCAGAATTTGTTGATCCTGTGAGTATCTTGCGTTGGGTCTTTTTTATGAAGGCTTGTAGGGGGATCAGTACGGTTCTTAGTGTTATCTGTGGGTTCTGAGTTCTTTCTACAACTGTCTGGTGACTAAAAGTGGATGCTGTTGGAGATCCACTACTCTTAGTAGATAGTGTAGGTGCAGGCTCACAAGACTACCCTCAAACCTTCAAAATGTATAAAATGAAAACCTTGACAAAAACACAGTGCGTATTGTAATCTTGCGTTCACAAAGTGGAGGAATTTATCTCCATTGGTATACTTTGTAGTGCTGTGACTCACTTTATTTTGTGCTTTTCTGGTGACTGCCTGCCCGCCCTTCCACAATAGAAGGGCACTGTCTACTTGTAGCTGCTATCAGTCGATAAACTGACTTGTCTAATGCATATCAACTACTCTCCTTACGTTTAACAGTCTCTAAAATTACACCATATTCAAAGTGATGTTTGACCATATTTCTTGTAAGCACAGATCTGCTTGTTTGCAATTATTTTTATTCTGCCTTTTTACAAGATTGTAAATTATGGCCTTGATCAATGGCAATATGTAGGCTTCCGTTCCGGCCTCTGTGGAATTATCACTTTGAGTTCCATAAATAGCAAATATGTCGCTTGTGATATTTTGCTTGCTCATCCAAGGACTAATGGCTAAATAATTCAGTCATAATAAACTAGCTTTTAAAGTGCACCTGTCATGCCCCAATCAACTTTTTCATGCAATTTTTATCTATACATTGTGCTAGCAGGTTATAGCTTAGGAGAAACTTTCCCACATGGGATCGTTATTCTCTCCTTCCATAGCAACTACACTGCATGTCATGCGGTTGCTATGGAAACGCTGGTACATAGCGCAAGAAAAGTATTTTAAATTAAGTGACCAAACGTCACACTCTCCTGGCACGCTGGCTATTTGCACTGCTTAGGGAGGTGTTCAAAGCAGGACAGATTAAAGAATAGCAGAGGATAGGCCGGAGGTAGGTTAAGTAACACTACAGGGTCAGGAATACCTGTTTGGGTTCCTGACCCTGTAGTGTTACCCATGCTGTTAAAACCACCATCTAGCTTCCCTGGCCGCCACTTGTCCACCTAAAAAATATAGTAAAATCTTTGTTTGTTTTGTCCTAGTCTGCAGCTGCTACCCCTGATCTATCTGCTTGGATGACACCAGAAGTATTGTTCTGAGCCAATCAAAATGCTTTCACGTAGGATTGGCTGAGACTGTCAAGGAGGCAGATCGGGGCAGTCAAACACAGCCCTGGCCAATCAGCATCTCCTGATAGAGATGAATTGAATCAGTGAATCTCTGAGGAAAGTTCAGTGTCTGCATGCAGAGGGTGAAGACATTGAATGGCAGTCACACTGCAGCGCTGCCCCAGGAAGCACCTCTAGCAGCCATCTGAGAAGTAGCCAGTGAAGTTATCGCTAGGCTGCAATATAAACACTGCATTTTCTCTGAAAAAAAGTTTTTACTGCAAAAAGCCTGAAGGGAATGATTCTACTCACCAGAAAAAATACAATAAGCTGTAGTTGTTATGGTGACTCTAGTGTCCCTTTTAAATGAAGAGTAACACCCATGAAGTGGTGCATGTACAGTGTATATTTTACATTAAATACACATGTCTTTGTGATATTCAATGTATATGGGAGCTATTTCAGGTAAAATTATTCATTACATGTTTTCTTTAACGAGATCCTAGACAAATTAGATTTTTCTCCCAAATCCATTATAGGGCTGTATAATAAGCAGGATATAGTCTGTTGTTTTAATCTGTCACCCCTTTTGTTTAGCATATTGAAGGAGATTTTGTTTCCATGTTGACAGTTGTATGAATGTTAAATTGTATTTCTATATTTTTAGGCCCAGATCACCATGAAAGTAATTCAGGGTCTTTACAGTGGTGTTACAACGGTGGAGTTGGATACATTGGCAGCAGAGACAGCAGCTACTCTGACAACCAAGCACCCAGATTATGCTATATTGGCTGCGAGAATAGCAGTTTCCAACTTGCACAAGGAAACCAAGAAAATATTCAGTGGTGCGTACATACCTAGGAATGTCCCATGCAGGACATGGTGCTTAAAGGAGTTATCACCATGGAGAACAATGGAATAAATCTCCTGATTGCCCCACCTTTAGCACTTCATTCACAAAATTGTCCTGAATCTAAACTTGTGATTGTAATTTTTTTTTAAATTCTTTTAAAAAAAATGTTTAAATGTAACTAGTTTTTTATTATTCACTGTGGAGGGGTTGGTTAAACATGTTTCCCTCATTAGAGTGTATACATGTCATTGGAGCATTATCATGTTTTCATCCTTTCTGCTACATGCTTGGACTGTCTTCTAGTTATGGGGGACGTTGATAGTTTTTTCTCTCTATATAGAAGTATTTAATATCTACATGGTGTCTATGCAGTTAATGTACAGTCATGAGACAACTCCTTATGTATATAGATGTGATGGAAGATCTTTTTAACTATGTGAACCCGCGGAATAAACGTCATTCTCCTATGATCTCCAAAGAGACGCTGGACATTGTGTTGGCAAATAAAGATGTAAGTGCTCCTATTCCGTTACTTATTGATGTGTTGGGTGGGAGGTTGGAACTTGCACAGTTGAAGGTGGAAAAAAATGATTGATGTCAATACTAGTGATATTGTCATTTGGCAAGTGTGCATGGCATTTTGTACCTGAAATTTAGTATTTTCATATATATATTTTACCTTTGATTACCTCTTTACTCTCTAAAAGGATCTACTCTTCTATAACATGTTTATGCTTTGTATACAATCAGATTAATCTAGGTAATGAAAGCTCTTGTCCTTTTAGATTGACTTAGTATGTTCCATTTTTTTTCTGCAGCGTCTGAACTCTTCCATTATCTACGACCGAGACTTCTCCTATAACTTCTTTGGGTTTAAGGTAAGTGGATGCTGAAGGACTCCATCTTTAAACTGATGTGTATTCAGTAAGAAATTTTTAAGCTTGGATGGGTAGTTATAAAAGGGAACGATCACTTCAAAATAAACTAACGTTATTTTTTACTTATCCCTTTAACACAATGCATGTGTGAGCCGTTACAGTAAAAATATACAGAAATCCTCATTGTCTATCATTGCTATAAGCTGTGTCCTAAGGGCCGTCTTTAATGATTGGGCCCCCTGCCACCCACTCCACTCCCTGGCATGCAGTCACGCCCTCCACCGCAATGTAGTGGCGGAACTAAACTAGAAAGGGTACTGGTGCAATGCTTATTTTGGGCCCTGTTATTGCAATGGTGGCCATATGGTAGATCCCTATCTGTCATACAACTCCAACAATGCTTTGACAGCTGGAGATCTATCGTTGTCCCATGCGTGCACAATGTATTTAGCAATGAGCAGTGTTTGTGTGTTTGAATGTAAGCATGTTTTGTATGGAGTATGTTTGTGTGAATGTAGGGGTGTGTTCGTATGTGGTGCTGGCATTTGAATGCAAGCATGTATTTATGTGTATGCATGGGTGTGGTGTGTTTTTTTTTTTTTTGTTTTTTTTGTATGTGTGTGTGTGTGTGTGTGTGTAGTTTAACACGTGTCTGTATGTAGTATTAATGTTTCAATGCAGGAGTGTGTTTAAATACTGAGATGCATGCACATATACACATACACTGACACATACTGTGATACAGATGCACAACCTGAAACACACATGCAGATACAAACAATGACTACATACATACATACATACATACATACATACATACATACATACATACATACATACATACATACATACATACATACATATAGACACACAGAGAACATACAGAAGCACACTGACACATGTAGGTACACACAATGAGAACATACAGATACACTGACACCCAAGTGGATACACACACTTACATATACCATCACTGACACATATGGAGATACAATGGCGCGCAGATACACACCCGGACAACATACAGATAGATACATACCGATAGACGTACTCACACAGACATACTCACACGCATGCAAAATTTGATAACCACCCTCTAGTTTCTTACCTTACCTGGAGGGTGGCTTCCGTGGGGTGGCTGGGAGTTAAGCTCTCGCTCTCTCCCGGCCTGTCCCAGCTGGTCCTCCTTCCTCCGGCTCCTGTTTCTGTTGGAGGAAGTGATGCCCGATGGGCTCCCATAGTGTGCAGGCCTGCTGCCCACAACAATTTATTTTGGAATCGGCGACCCCAAAAGACATTGTTGCTGGCAGCGGGAAAACGGGCCACCTGCCTTGGGGCCCTCAACAGTGACAGGGCCCGGGGCAATTGCCCCATTTGCCCCGCTTTAAAGATGGCCCTGTCTGTCCTATATATCCTGCTGTCCGCCTAGAGCAAGCAGGAGAAATATAACATTCAGAGTTATTTTCTAAAGTGAGAGTTCTACATTTTCAGAAACACTCAGAAAATGTGACTTCTTACCTGGAGTTCGCAGGTGCTGCTCGCTTTCTGCACTACAACCTTCAGAAAGTCAGCAGCTCTGCTTGAATGAAGTCCAGTAGTTACAGGCCTTAGCTTATTGGCTGACACTGCACTGCAGAGCGTCGCTCAGGAAATCTTAAGAGGTTCCTAAGCAGGAGCTACTGTCTCCCCTATGACCGGTGAACCCCAGTAAAGTTAAATTGCCATTTATATTGTGCTAACAGATTCCGTAGCGCTTTACAATATGAGTGGGCATTTAACTATAAATAGGACCATTACAAGAAAACTTACAGAAACTATAGGTTGAAGAGGACCCTGCTCAAACGAGCTTAGTCTATAGCAGGGGTAGGCAACCTTCCAGCAGCACTGTGCCGATATAGGATGATGTCCTATCTTTTTTTTTTTTTTTTTTAAATTGAGGTGTGTATGTTGCCGTATTCTGCTTGTTTTTATTGCAGTTGCTTTGTATCATTGTATTTGTGTGTATATGAGCTATTATATTGTAAATGTTCATTAGTAGTTTATGGTATTGTGTATGATGCATATGAATGGGGGCTGCTTGTGGAATTGTGTGGATGGATATGTCACATTGTGTGTTTGGTAGCGGGTTACGTTTGTGCGGTTTGTGTGTGGGCTGTTCATATTATTTGTATGAGGGGAGGGTTATTCTGCATTTGTGTATATCTAGCATCTTCACTGGGTTCCAGGCTGGCCAGATACAGGACAAGGACAGGAGCTGCAGCTGCGGGCCGCTCTACTACGGTGTGGATTCCCAGTCACAAGTGCTGGGATTACTTCCTCTATATACTGCAATGCTTAAATTGAAGATTGTCCTTCACCACCTCTTTGTATTAGTAGTTATCTGAAGTTTTACTGGGACTCCTGATAGGCCAGAGCCTGTTTGGCTCCAGCAGACTGGAGTGCCGTGCAAATACACCTTGAGTGCTGTGCATGGCACTAGTGCCGTAGGTTGCCTACCCCTGGTCTATAGGATGTTACTAGTATGCTTATTGTCTTGGCTATTATGTCATTATGTGGAAAGTTATAGGTTGTGGGGGGGGGTTTGGATTATTTTTGTTTCTTTGAAATTTCCTTGGTATTACATTTCATTTTTTTTTTTTTTTTTTTCTCCTTTTCCAGACATTAGAGCGCTCCTATTTGCTGAAAATAAATGGGAAAGGTAATAACAAACTTTATTAAACAGTCGAAACCCTACAAAGCCAGTTGAGTAGAATAAGCACTATTGCATTACTGGGTGTGTTAAGATGGGTATTTACACTGATTGCATAAGCAGCAATTCTCAGCCCTCCCATTAGCAGAAAACATTTTTGACCTTTGCTAGTCACAAGGGTAAGTTGAGGTTGAAAGTATCACCTCTCTGTGGTTATTAAGGTCAGACTTTTCTTTTAACTGGAGAATTAATGAGCATTGTCATCTAACCTTACAGCTGTTACCATATGGTGTGAAGCAGTGGCCATACTGTGTGATGGCATGTTCATTTATTGCGGTAAAGAACAAACTGGGTTGGGTTACGTTCTCCAAATATACTGTTATACCAATCCTCGTGGGTCCTGCACTTATTGTCACAATGGAGATTGTAAGGAAATCAAGTATAGCTGAACCGCTTTGATAATTCCTCCTGCAATGCCAGCGTCTAAGGTAGTTCCAAGCAATGAAGTCCATAAGAAATATAACAGCTTCCCAAGATAATCCCCTTGGTAAAGCATACGAATTCCCAAATAACAGTCAGAGTCCAGAATCAGGATACAAGTAGATCTGAGGTCTGGAATCTCCAGCCTGCTTTTTATTAGGGTTACAGACAAGAAATACACACCCAGGGGGAGGCATTAAATCACCAATCAGGTATAGGTTACAGCCCCTACCTCCCTCCCCTCTGATAAACAGTTAACTTCATTAAAACGTGCACTATTTTACCCCAGTTCTGGATGTACCCCAAAAACAGGGGGTACACCTTTAAATTGGGCACCGCTGGATAGTTCTCATTTGTGGGGACAACATGTCAAAAAATCAGTCCATTCGGATGAATGGTTCGGGAGTTATGGAGCACTAAAGTTTTGACCGACCGCACGGATCATCTAGCCGAAAATAGTTCCATAAGTTTTGGCCCTGCGGTCGGTCTCCGTTTAGGCGAATAAAAGAGACGAAAGCCCTGCCATCCGTTCGCATCTTCGTGGTCGTTGAAATCCCCATACGAAGTTGCATGTAACTACCGAACGGCCGGTGATTCGGTCTTTCCCGTGCGAAGTTCTGGATGTATGGAGGTCTCAGCGGTGTTCGCCTGTTTGCGTATCCGATTTTAGTTCCACGCGTTGACGGGCAAACACCGCTGTTCGCACGTAAAATGGCCGCGGCCACGTGTAAAGTGCCGAAATGGCGGCCACCTAGATTTTACACGGGGAATTCGCCTGAATCCATCCGAAGGGTAGAAATTAAAGCTATATCCTGAATTCCAGCTGAATTGGGTGAATTAACTGCACAACAAAGGTAGAAATCCTGATGAACGGAGTCATTTCTTCACAGAGATTAACATGCTAACTGCAATACTTGCTGTTTAAACTGCTTTCTGACACTTTCCTCAAATGTTTACTTCCCTATTGTCCGTTACAGAGGGGCACCCATAGTGTATGGGGCAAAGGGCTCAACCAAAAATGAATCTACTCTGGATTCCAAAAATAACTTTTTTGTTTTTTTTTTGGTTTTTTTCCCTCTCCTCCTCTGTGTATATTAAGAATCTAGACCAGATTCCTTTTGAAACGAGCCTTCCACTTTAGTGCTTTGGAAGTGACAACAAGAAATACATTTGAATAGTCTCTGAAAGCCGTTTAAACAGTTGGCATGTTTATTTCTAATGTTAAAAATAGCTTAGGATCCACTGATATTGAGGTGCTTTGTCAAAGTGGGTGGGCTTTACACGGTATGGCTATATGGTAGTGGTGCTAAAATAGGTGACTTTACACGATTTTGTTTAATCTGTATTTATTTAGCACTTTACTGTAACACCACTACTTAGAAATGGACAAAAGGGCACACCCAGAGCTTGCAATTTTTCTTTATTCTGTGTATTTTTAGTTTGCAGCTGTGAGGGGGCATCAGTAGTGATCTGCACCCCCAGGAGGGTTAGAACTGCAGCTCTGTCACTATTGTTAGTGAGTGCAGAGCCAGTCCTAGAGAGCCGACACTCTAACTGTAGCAAAGGTTCTGCTAACTGGGACCCCAAAAGCCACAAATTGCAAACTAATTTGAAAAAACTTAATTTGCTCGGGAAAAAATAAATATATGGGCCATGGGTGCATATGAGTTTACTGCAGCGACGTGGTTAATTTTTTTTTTTTTTTTTATTCTAGTCCTATTTAGCAGGCTGTAACAGTAATAAAACCGCCACTGATTGCAAGTTCCTCTTATTTACATGTTTATTGTTGCAGCTAAACGGCATGCAATATTTTTCTATTTTTTAATGCTAGTTTATATCCCGATCATGTTCTTAATGAGGTACTCTAATTTATCTGGATTAGAAACAAGTGTTTGGATGAGCATGCCCGCTCTTATGGATTTTAATGTGTTTGATAGTATCCTGTACAAGCTTTGCTAATCATGGTAAACTGTTTTTTGTATTCCATTGCAGTGGCAGAAAGACCTCAGCACATGTTGATGAGGGTGTCTGTAGGCATCCACAAGACGGACATAGAGGCTGCTATTGAAACTTATAACTTACTGTCTGAGAAATGGTTTACCCATGCATCTCCTACACTCTTCAATGCTGGCACCAATAGACCGCAGCTGTCTAGGTTATCTCTCTTTCTTTTAATACTTGCTGTTGTACATCTCCCATCCCTCTTTAGACTTCTTGTAAGGTTCAGACACATGCAAAATACTGCTATCACATCTGTTGCCTTGCCACCAAAATCATAATCTCATAGGCCATGCATTTCTATATATATTTTTTTTTTTAGTTGTTTCCTGCTGTGCATGAAAGATGACAGCATTGAAGGCATTTATGACACTTTAAAGCAGTGTGCACTCATCTCTAAATCTGCTGGTGGGATTGGAGTAGCAGTCAGCTGTATCAGAGCCACTGGTAGCTATATTGCTGGGGTTAGTGTTTTTCAGCTTGCATATGTTGTATAATATGAATTACTGTCAATGTTTCTTTCATTGTTGGACTCTATATATACTTTTTTATTTTTTTATTTTTTTTGCTGCTATTCAAATAATGTGATATCTTGCCCCATCAGAATGGAATGGGCAGCTGTATTCAGAAAATTATGTTCATGGTTCAGTAAACCTTCATATGTATTGATATCACCTGATTAAACTTTACTTTATTATAGACAAATGGAAATTCTAATGGACTTGTCCCAATGCTGCGTGTTTACAATAATACCGCCCGCTATGTGGATCAAGGTGGAAACAAGGTATGTTGTGTGAGATCTTTATAGAGGAGAAAGTATTGACAGTCACACTACCATAACCACTGCAGTGTACCTGGTGTCATCTGCTGCCATGTGTTATTTTATATATATATATATAATATATATATATATAATTTTATTTATTTATTTTTTTTTTTTTTTTTAAGAATGGTTTGACGGCACCTCTCGTTGGTGTGATAATATAGAAGCTCACACAAGCCCTTTTTTAAATTGCTTTTTTATTTGTATTTTTTTTTAAGTGTTACAAACCGCATGTAATGAAAATATTAATACATACAATCTGTTTCAAATGTCGTGTGGTGTTTTTTTTTATTTATTTTTTTTCTCTTCATAGCTCTGATTCTAAGTGTACATTTCTGTTTTGCTACATTATTCGAAGTACACATGTAACATAATCCTCATTTAGTGTAAGCTTTCATACACCATGGTCAATCTTTCAGCACGTGTGTGATACATAACATTGAACAGCTTCTATAGTGTAGCGGAGAGGTAGTATAATCCACAGTATCTCTGCTGGGTAACAGGAACAGCATAAAATAATCAAAGGAAATAAATACAGCATACAATAATCCTGGTAGCGTTGTAGAAATCCTTCCATCCCAAGAACTAGATGACACATAGGCTGGGAGTCAACTCAGGATTTATTCACAGGTAACTGTATTTATGGGTTTCCCTGACATTCCAGTGGTGGTACAGTAGGGGACTACATGGGGAACTGAACAATACAGACATTTCTCCCACCATGCACTGCTGTACGAGAGGGATACTCCCACTAGAATATACAGCTAAGTGGATTATCCCTCCATGCAGCAGAAATTACATTTTACATTAAAATGCATAACTTCCATAATATTCCCTTAAACGAATGGACGTTCGTTAGATAGCTGGAGTCTGAGCGCACAGTTCGTGAGAATACCGCTTAGGAGAAAGGGCGCAAAACCAGTTTGAATGCTCCCCCTGGTTGGTGTTTGTCTATACAAATGGTGGCCACCCAGGGGAAGCGCTCCTTAATGGTTTCCCTTGCGGTTTCTCATTTGTTACTGGTGCAAACGTTCTAATTAGTGTGAACACTCTAACGGGCTACTGTGGTGGTCCCTGTTCGGGAGACAAATGGGTTCCTTTTGTATGAACGCTCCCGAATGGGGAAACTGGACATAATATACACAGGGAACACTCCATACAAGTGGAAACTATACGAATGAGCAGTGATTCTGCCCCAGGCATGACACTCAGTGACTCTGTTCGGTCACATGGAGTATCCTTAAACATAAAGGAGTTCCAATGTCCCCAGGTTTGTTTAAATTTCCTATAATTTTAAGAAATGTTATTTCCTCCATCTGTTTTATCCCTTCTACTCTTTGAATACATTCCCTAATGGAGGATTTACCAGTTTCCATTTGAATGGGATAAGCTGGCTGCCAGAAGTAAATGATATTAGGGACCCCTCCTGCGTTCTGTGGTTAGATGGGGGTAATAGAAAAAGCTGGTATTCTGGTGAGCATGGTATCTGCATTTTTGAGATCCTTTTAGTTTATGTATACGTTCCCAGGTTTTTCTTATTGGACAGAGCCACCAAATGTGTGCGGAATACGTCTCTGGTAGTTGGCATCTCCAGCATGCATTTTGTGCTCCTAAGTGTATGTTATGGGTTTTAGCTGGGGTATAGTACCAGCTTGGGAGGCGCTTATAGTAACTCTTGTGTGGCGTTGGATGTGGATGCCTTGTGTGTCCTGGTGAATATCTGCTGCCACTGATCTGTAGGCTCCGCATAAAGTGTAGTAACTGTGCTGTGACAAAATCCACTTCGCTACTGGATTTTGGAGGGGCCTTTGTGCCAGCCTCCTACCCTGGGACTATGGGCGCTGTGATAACCCATGTTCAAAAATACTGTTTCTGCACCTTGGACTTTTAACTGGAACAGTTTCAAACATGTGGCAGCAGCTTTCTTAAATTGTCCAGCAGTGTTTTGCCGTCGAGTGTATGGAACGGTTTTGGCTATGGGACCATGTGCACAGTGGGGAAAAAAGACTTTTGTGGGGATGTTTTATTTTTGGGGTTTGTAAATTTTTCTGTTTTTAGAGTTAGTCAATTGTCTCTCTTAATTGTATCACAGGCACAGGGAAGGGAATATGTGCTGTAAGTGGGAGTATTGGACATTGTTGTATTCTGATTTGGTTTGTGTCCTTTGTGTGCCTGTGTTCAATCAGGTCCAGGGGGGTGTGCCTCTGGCATGAAGAATGGTTGTGTGTGTGTGTAAGCAAACCTGTAACAAAGCCTCAGACTTGTTCTACCCTTCTTAAAGTCTTGACTCATGTTTGGGGGATTGGAGAACTACCTACACTCTGGGGAGTATGGGGATTGCTATAATCCCTATACTCCCCAGAGTATAATCACTAGGTTTTGTAAGAGCTGTTCCTGCTCTCTGGACTAAGATCTACCAACTGGAAGTTGGGTCAAGAGTGGGTGGAAGATGGCGAGATGCCAACCAAGCTGCGGCGGTTCGTGAGGTCTGTGATGGATATGGTGTCTAGTGGAGTGCTTGGAGCTCTCAGGAAGCACTAGGAGCATCAGTCAACGGAGGTACCCGGTCGGGGTTCTAGCCGATCCAGGTGCGTAGTGCAGTTGTTGCGTGCCTGTAGGAGTGTGTGGTGGTTATGTCTTGTATTGACCTGATTTGTTGTCCCCAGTGTCATATCGTGTAAAGTGAGGTAATTTGTGTCATGTTAAAGCTTATACAGAGATTCCTACATGAAACAGAGGGTTGGTGTAAGTGCGTAAAGCGGAGAGGGGTATGGCGAGAGAGCCTGACTACTGGCCAATCTCGACCATACTCTGAGTGTGGCTGCAATAGTCAGGTGATGTTTGCTTTTTAAACGGGCTAAACCGATTTTTGTGCCATGGAACTGTCGTAATGGGTATTCGAAGAACGATCCTATGATCACCCATTCTTGTTGTATGATCTCTCGTCCATGCATAGATCTGGGCCATGTGAATGGCTTTGTGAAATGCATCTTTGTCAGGAAGACCCAATCCTTGTGGTTTACTGAGAAGTGCGATAGCTAATCGAGGGTGCACGTTTGACCATATAAAGACATAAAAATCATCTTGACAGTGTCAAAGAACGTTTTTGGAAGTACTGTTGGAAATGTTTGAAGTGCATATAGGATGCGGGGTAGCACGTAAATTTTTACAATACAAATTCTACAAAACCATTAAAAACATGGTTTGTGCCAGGAAAATTCAATTCAGAGTTGATCTATCTTTCGTGGCAGGTGTAACCCTAAATACTTGATAGACCCGTTGTCCCACGTAAAATGGAACTGTTGCTTCATGTGCTCATCTATATCTGGTGTGATGTAAAAGGGAAGTATCTCGCACTTGGCGAGGGCTCACACTAGGTTTATGCAGTATTCATTGATTGTCAGCTGATGGGTTTCTGCCATTGAATGCTGTTTGTACCTGATGTGATTTTTCAGAAGTATGAATTTCTAGCGCATCAAAGAGCAGTCATTCCCTCATTTTCTGACATGATCTTCTCTTCTGTGTGAGATTTGGAAGCTCTTATAACTTAGCCTCTTTCTGCCTAATTTTATAGTTCTGTCTATCTTCCGCACTTTATTTTTTTGCTTTTACGGAAAAACCTAATGCAATTTTCTGTTGCCTTCAATAGTGCAACTTTTAAATAATCCCAGTTCTCTGGACTCCATTTAAATTGCTCCAGTCTGATAATGACTCCATTACACATATTCTAATTTTAGAAAAGTCTGTTTTTCTAAAGTCTAAAACTTTTGTTTTTGTGTAGTGTGACTCAGTCACTGCTCTTATATTAAACCACACTGACTCACTGGATCCTAAACTTTCACCTACAGTAATATCTGATACCAAATCTCCATTTGTTAACACTAAATCTAGTATGGCCTCTTTACGAGTTGGCTCCTCAACAACTTGTTTTAGAGACCATCCCTGTAAGGAGTTCAGAATGTGTGCTCCTGGCATCAGTAGCTATCTTGGTTTTCCAGTTCTCATCAGGAAGATTAGTCACCCATGATAACTTCCTGCTTCATTGTCATTTTAGCTGTTTCCTCAACTAGTAGACTAACACTTCTATTTGTCCTGGTGGCCTCTAAATCACACCTCAAACTTCTCATGTCCTCGAGTTACAGATCTGAAATGAGACTAGCATCCATCAAGTTCAGCCTTCCTCACATGTTTTTTGCTGCTGTTTCAAAAGGCAAAAAACCCAGTCTGAAGCGCTTACAATTTTGCAACAAACTAGGAAAAAATTCCTTCTTGACCCCAAAATAGCAGTCAGATGTCTCATTGGATCAAGCAGCTATTACCCCACTAATTAGAAATGATATCCCTGTATGTTATGTTTTTTTGCAAGTATTTATCCAATTTCAGTTTAAACATCTGTATAGACTCTGACAAAATCACCTCTTCAGGCAGAGAATTCCATATCCTTATTGCTCTTACTGTAAAAAAACAAAACAACCTTTTCTTTGCCTTAGATGAAATCTCCTTTCTTCCAGCCTAAATGTGTGACCTCGTGTCCTATGTATAGCCCTGTTTATGAATAGATTTCCAGATAATGGTTTGTACTGGGCCCGAATATATTTTGTATATTATATCCACTCTCAGGTGCCGTTTTTCCAAACTAAACAGATTTAATTTTTTTTTTTTTTAACCTTTCTTCAAAACTAAAATGCTCCATTCCTTATATCAATTTTGTAGCGTGTCTCTGCACTCTTTCTACTGCCATGATATCTTTCTTTAGAACAGGTGCCCAAAATTGCACAACATAATCAAGGTGTGGTCTCACCAGCAGCTTATAAAGAGGCAAAATTATATTTTCATCCCGAGAATTTATGCCCCTATTTATACATGACAATCTTACTGGCCTTAGCAACTGCAGATTGACATTGCATATTGTTGCCTAATTTGTCTATAACAATTCCTAAATCCTTCTCGTGTGTGGTTATCCCTAGTTAACTACAATTTAATATGTAAATTGCTTGTGCATTCTTAACCCCAAAGTGCATAACTTTGCATTTCTCTACATTAAATTTAATCTGCCATTTTAGTGCCTAGTCCCCCAAACTATCTAAAACCCTCTGCAGCAAAGCAATATCCTGCTCACATTTTGTTACTGTACAAAGTTTTGTCATCTGCAAAATTAATTGTGATTACCAAATTCTAACGTAACCCAAACGGACTCTGTTCGCCTCACTAACTTTTATTAGGCTAGATTTTATGCTATTCACATACAGGGCTACCCCTATCTTTTCCAAATAAAGAGTACCCTGGTATTGCTATGCCCCAGTAATTTTTCTCATTGTACCATGTCTAGCTAACAGCGACTCTACATTATCAGTTGCCATTATTGCCACAAGTTCATGGATCTTATCCCCTAAACTGCAAGCATTTGTAGGCATGACTCTAAGCTTATCATTTTTTTTAACACACTTGCTAAAGGCACCTTCTGTCCTTGTTTTCAAGGAATTTACACAAACATAAATTTGAGGGGTTTCCTATGCTAGTGAGCTGTTCTATGTTCAGGGGAATTCCCTCAAACAAATACCTGCTCTCTAACGCACCCTTGCTCACCGACCTAATTATTTTTACGACAGATGTAAGGATGGAACCCAGTCAGTAAGTGAGAACAACCTGTATTCTGGTTTTATCTCTTTCTTAATCCTAGGCAATATTGCTAAAATGTCTAACTCAGAAAATTTTGTCTTTTTATTTTGTGTTTATTTTATTTTAGTTTTTGACATTACAAACATTCTACGGGCATCAGTGATCAAGATTTCTAATTCATTGTTCTCCATTGCTTCAAGGGTTATTTTTAATCTGCTAGATTAAGCATCACTGCTTTCTGTATTGTGCCAGTGTGGTTCAGTATCTCAATATGTATCCTATGTACTAGGCCAATAATAGCCTGCTTTTGTCCTTCAGAGACCTGGTGCTTTTGCCATCTACCTGGAGCCCTGGCATTATGATGTCTTTGACTTCTTGGACCTTAAGAAGAACACAGGAAAGGAGGAGCAAAGAGCCAGAGATCTATTCTATGCTTTGTGGATCCCAGATCTCTTTATGAAAAGAGTGGAGACTAACGAGGTGAGCTTGCATGTTTATCATCTCTGTGCCCTACACACTCAAGCGCTAGAAAGGCTGGTGGTTGTTGGTTTTTTTTATTTTATTTAGTTTTTTCCTAATTATCTTTTTGGGGATTTTATTTTAGGATTGGTCTTTGATGTGTCCTCATGAGTGTCCAGGTCTGGAAGAAGTTTGGGGAGAGAAGTTTGAGGAGCTCTATGAAAAGTAAAAAATCCTTTTGTTTTATTTCATTGTATAGTTACACTAAAACTTCTTTCTTCCAGTCTAAGCACATGTCCTCGAGCCCTGTTTATGAATAAATTTCCACACAATGGTTTGTATTGGCCACGGATATATTTGTATAATGTTATCATATCCCCCCTGAGGTGATGGTTTTTTTAAACTAAAGAGGCTTACATTTGTTAACCTTTCTTCATATCTAAACTGTTCCATTCCTTTTATGGTTTTGTGGTCATCTTGCCGTGTAAGGAAAACCCCTAGAGCAGAATACTTTTCAGATTTGTACTTCAAATGTCTTATTAGAGTAACCCATTGCTTTGCTGAATATACTAAGAGATCAGACTCTGGTTCTCACATAAGTGATCATTCGTATCCCTCTATTCCATGCTCACAGATATGAACGGGAAGGACGAGTACGCAAGGTGATTAAAGCTCAGCAGCTCTGGTATGCCATCATCGAGTCTCAGACAGAAACTGGCACTCCATACATGCTTTATAAGGATGCATGTAACCGTAAGAGTAACCAGCAGAACCTGGGAACCATTAAGTGTAGTAATCTGTGCACGGAGATTGTGGAATACACCAGTGATAAAGAGGTAATAATGTTGACCGTGGAGGTGGTGAAATGTCTTTACTGGGTGAGATAGTGTCTAAATGCCCCACGTTCTTCTATACAGAAGCCATGTTATTGTACTCTGCCAGATAATTATTCTTACAGCTTACTTTACTTACATACCTAGAGCAAAAGTGTTGGCTATTGGTTAGGGTGTGGCATCTTAAATCTTGCTTACAAAGCAGCTGTTAATTTTACTTTTTCCACGTGGATTTGTACTTTATATTTTCCAGGTATTCATTGTGCTGCCTTGAGCCTTTTCTGAGTAATGAAATGTTGATTGATATGCAGCACTGTTTTATTTTAAAAGTTTTAATGCAGTATAATTGCTACAGATTGTTACACCTGTATAGGCTAAAGGCAGTATTCTGGAGTATCCCTTGGAATTCATTACTGTCTAATTCTTTCACTGCTCATGTATTGAAACACTGATTTATCTTTACAGGTTGCTGTTTGTAACTTGGCCTCCATTGCGCTGAATATGTACGTCACCAGTGAGCGAACATTCGACTTCAAAAAACTTGCTGAGGTTACTAAAGTTATTGTACGAAATCTCAACAAAATAATTGAAATTAATTTCTATCCAGTTCCAGAGGTAAGAGCTTTATGTCCCTAGCAGCCTAAATTCCTAGTTTATTCCTGTTTCTATCTATACATTGATTTATATAGCATATAAACAGCGTTTGCCCTCTTTATACACTATATCAGGGCATCCCAAACTTTTTTGGCCGAGACCCACTTTTCAAAACTGTAATTTTCCGAGACCCACTTGCTTTAACCCCTTAAGGACCAAACTTTTGGAATAAAAGGGAATCATGACATGTCACCCATGGGGTTACAGTGGGGGGAGGAGGGGACGCAGGGTCTGTGTCCTACCTTTTTAATAAATTCCCTGGTGGTCCTGTGGGTGTCCGGTGTGAGCTCCACTAGGTGCAGAGCTGCAGACCGTGTAATAAGTCTCACAAGCTCCTGGTGTCAGTCTGTCTAGCTGGCAGACCTGCATGTGTGGGTCAGCGCGACCCACTGGGGATCGCCTTGCGACCCACACTTTGGGAACCACTGCACTATATAAATCCATAGATAGAAGCAGGGCTCGCTCTGTTTTATACACTGTATAAATCCATAGATAGAAGCAGGGCTCGCTCTGTTTATACACTATATAAATGCATAGATTGATAGAAGCAGAGCTCGCCCTCTTTATTCACTAAATCATGTCGATTTTTATTTTATTTTATTTTTTATGTTGGGTAGTGGATTGCCAACTTAAATCTCTTTTTAATATTTGCAGGCAGAGTACTCAAACAAGCGTCATCGTCCTATAGGAATAGGGGTACAAGGACTTGCTGATGCTTTCATCCTTATGCGGTTCCCTTTTGAAAGCCCAGAGGCCCAGTTGCTAAACCAGCAGATCTTTGAGACCATCTATTATGCTGCACTGGAGTCTAGTTGTGAACTTGCAGAGCAGCTTGGACCCTATGACACGTATGAAGGCAGTCCTGTCAGCAAAGGTGTAAGTGTGGGCCTTGATGTGGGTGATGGAGAGAGAGAGTCTCCCTGACATGCTTGTGAAGAGAATATAATTTGCTGCTGTATTTTGGAGCAATTCTGTCTACCTCCAATTGGTTTAATTGCAGAGATACCTATGTGAAACTGTATTTTTGTAAAACCAAAGGAGTGTGTGTAACATAAAACCCCATTCAAATATCAGTATTCAGATTAACACTTAACAAAAGTGGATTTATTTATTTTTTTATTTTTTTTAGTTCTTCACTATAATTTTCTTTTTATTTAGTTCAAGGTCTAATTTAGGATTTTGGTGATGGAATTGGTTGTCTCTTAATTAACTTTGGAGAATTTTCTTGCAGATCCTACAGTATGACATGTGGGACTTCACACCCTCTGGGCTCTGGGACTGGGCTGCTTTGAAGGAAAAGATTGCAAAGTAAGTGAATGAGACTTCAAGCTGTCCTTCTCGTGTGCTACAGTCTGCCCTCTGCCCTCTGTGTGATAATGGGGCATAGTCTGCCCTCTGTGTGATAATGGGGCATAGTCTGCCCTCTGTGTGAGAATGGGGCCTCTCCCATCATACTCCAAGCAATGCTAGCAGTATGTAGACCTAAAGCTTGCCATTGTGCTGATACAGTTAGCGCTGCTTAAAGATCTGAACAGATCCAGAATGATCCTGCTGGCTTGGTGATGCATTCTTTCTTTTTGTTAATTTGAATTTTTTTCAGACATGGCATTAGGAATAGCTTGCTCTTGGCACCGATGCCCACGGCTTCCACTGCTCAGATATTGGGTAACAATGAGTCCATAGAACCATACACCAGCAACATCTACACCCGCAGAGTCCTGTCAGGAGAGTTTCAGGTAACTCTAGGGGCTTAGTGAAACATATCTCTAACCTTTAATCAATGCAAATAGGTCCTCTGTCTTATTGATTTTTAAAAAAATTTTGTATTTTTTTTAAGATTGTTAACCCACATTTACTAAAAGATCTAACCGAGCGAGGGCTTTGGAATGAAGAAATGAAAAACCAGATTATTGCGTGTAATGGATCAATTCAGGTAATTAGTGCTCAACATGCTTAAGCATTTAGTGGGTGTTTTACAGTCGAGTTCATTTTTTTTTTTTCCCCTTTCAGGTCTCTCCTCTGTCTCTCCTCTGTCTCTCCTCTGTCTCTCCTCTGTCTCTCCTCTGTCTCTCCTCTGTCTCTCCTCTGTCTCTCCTCTGTCTCTCCTCTGTCTCTCCTCTGTCTCTCCTCTGTCTCTCCTCTGTCTCTCCTCTGTCTCTCCTCTGTCTCTCCCCTGTCTCTCCCCTGTCTCTCCCCTGTCTCTCCCCTGTCTCTCCCCTGTCTCTCCCCTGTCTCTCCCCCTCCTGTCTCATGTTCAGAAACTATAGTACAGGGATACTCGAAAGGTAGATCTTCTAGAACTAAAACTCCCTTGATACTTTGCATACCTCTTGCAATGATTTTACAAAGCATAATTGAAGTTTTTTTTTTGTGTGTGTTTTTTTTTTTTTTAAACCTCTGGAGATATACCTCTTGGGCACCACCGTGGCTAGTAGATTTTAAAATTAAATGTGCATTATTGTTGTAAAATGGGATAACGTTCTAGTACTCGGAGTTGATTTTATAGTGTAGTTTTTACTCTAAATGTTGAGTGAAGGATGTGACTGACTAGTGTACTACTTTTGGCAGAGTATTCCAGAAATTCCTCAAGACCTGAAAGATCTCTATAAGACTGTGTGGGAAATATCACAGAAAACGTTGATCAAAATGGCGGCAGACAGAGGTGCATTCATTGACCAGAGCCAGTCACTGAATATCCATGTAGCCGAGCCAAACTACGGCAAACTGACCAGCATGCACTTCTACGGCTGGAAAATGGTAATGCAACAGCCCAGTAAAAGGGAGTTTCTGATTTGGGTTTAACCATAGTTTATGTAGCTAATAGAAAAAATAAATATGTAAGATTCTTTAACCCCTTAAGGACACATGATGGAAATATTCCTTCATGATTCCCTTTTATTCCAGAAGTTGTGTCCTTAAGGGGTTAACACCTAAAGACTCCTTTTCTATGTGGTGTTGCTCTATCTGTTTTTGGCTGTTCATCCTATAGTGGTCCCATACAACCAGATATCATACCGATATCCTACTGAATAGGTGAAACTGATCTAGGTAGTCATTCACTAAACTGGTTTTTATATTTCTCACATGACCCTGTATATATTCATTGCAATCTAGGATTCCAGGTCCCTTTGTTACCTGGGTTAATGCCTCAAGGTTCAGTTCTCTGCGCAGTCTATGTACATAATTGACCCTAATGATGTGAGTAAAATATCAACTGTACGTACAGGTTTTCTGCTAACGCTCACTGCAACTCCCCACACCTCCTATAACACACACTACCTGAGCAGCATGCTTGCTGCAGTTCCTCATATCTCCTGTAGGTCCGTTTTTCTTCCAGCACCTTGAAATAGTGTATGTATATATATTTGAAAGATGATAAATCTAAAAGGTCTGTCTTCATACTAGTTTACACAATAGTAACGATCATCACAGCTATAGTTCGATATCTTGAAACTTTCAGTTCATTACAAATTGATGCGATTCATTTCCCGTGTCCTTAAAATCAGCTTATCTTTGCTTACGATTAGCTTCAATTACTGATATCTTTCTGTGTGACTAGGCTTCCTGCTACACTTTGTCTTTGCTTTGTCTAGTATATTAATGCGAGTTCTTTTACAGGGTCTAAAAACTGGCATGTACTATCTGCGAACACGGCCTGCAGCAAACCCCATCCAGTTCACACTGAATAAAGAGAAGCTTAAAGAAAAGGACAGTGTGTCTCCGGAGGTCTCAGAAAAGGAAGAGAAGGAGAGGAACAAGGCTGCAATGGTGTGCTCTTTAGAAAACCGAGATGAATGTCTAATGTGTGGGTCGTAGCTGCTGACATTATGTCAAAGAATTGTATCAAGCAGACAAAATAAACTTTTTTTTCTAATAAAGTGGCATTTTTTTTATTTATTTTTTTTTTTTTTAAGTGGCACTGGTTCATGCAACAAACGGTTTTCTTCATTCAGCCACTGATGTTACAGGAGCAGGACCCAAAAGGGTTACTCTGAGCACATTGAACACTTGGGTGTGGTTGTGGTGCTTGGAGTTTAGCGTTTCACTATGAAATGATGTACATACAGAGTTTAACCCCTTTCCTTTGTTCCACTTCAAACGGTGTCTTGAGCCAGCTGGATTTTGAGTTCTGGCCTAGCTAATGTCCATTCTGTGCATGTTTATGGAACATAAAAGGGGGCATCTTCAATAAATCTCCAGAATGCTTGGCTACTTTTCTGACCGCTATGGTGGAAGGGAGTCCAGAATGTCTGGTTGTGAGGATTGATCAATATAAGTAATGCAGAGAGAAACTTTGGATGTGTTGCTTTTTTTTCTACTAGGTTAGTGTAGATGGAGTTCACTAACCTAGTAAAGAAAGCTGCCAAATCCATATCTTTTTATATTTTCTATGCAGAAAAGATAGGTGCCTGCAATAATACGACAGTATAAGCAAGAATGGCCTTAGAAGTATTGGCACCATTTTGTGACGATAATCATGAAAGCCAACAAGTCTGAGTGATAATAGCTACTAGAAAAATAGGTCGTGGAAAACAGAGTAAAATGAGTCAGCCACTGGGTCATATATAGAGATATGGTATTGCTTTTGTGTAGAGCTGATCTCACTTGTGGGGGAGAGAGAACAAAATGTTAGTGGGCAATTGACCACCTTCTCTTTTCACCGGTAGAAGATCAAAGCTTTCCTACACTTAGTCTGTAGTATCAGTGACCACCATCCAAATTAAAAAAGACCTAGCAGCTAGTCATGTAAAATTTTTTATTTTATTTTTTTTGTATGGGGTGGTATTTATTTTGTCATATGGTGACAGTAACTGAAGGGTTATACTTCTCCCTGTGGACAAGACATCTTAGCAATTAATAAAAAAAAAAAGAGCCCTCCCCCTTTACCTATAAAGTGCGGTACCTCCAAACACACCCCAGTCTTCTTTCTTGTCCCGAGAGGGACAGGACATCGGATGGTGAGACACACGGGTTGTTTTGTCTGGGGGACCAGGTCCAAGAGCTGCACGGGCGGTAGGCTGAGTGACCATGCTCCTAACCAGCAAGGTTACGGAGCAAGTGGAGGAAAAGTCTGTTTATGCCGAGAACGGTTCTGGCAATGCTTCCTCGAGGTGGTGCTCAGGCCGAGCATGCGCACAGCGGTGGAACGCACGCCCGGGTGGTGCGTTCCTCCTAGGCTTCCGGGTGCGTTCACATGCATGCGCATACTGGAACCTTAAGTCATACTCAAAAAAAAAAAAATTTGAAATCCGACAAATATAAGAAGCTGCATGGATGCAGGTCAGAAGAAGTACACCATTTCACCTGCCCCCCACACGGCTCAGAGGTATTTTGAGGTGAGATTTAAATTAATCTTTAACATATTCTTTCAAATCAAAGCTAAAAAAAAAAAACCTCCTTTCATATATTCTCCACAGATATGTCTAAGCTTATCCTGACATGGACAAAGAAAAGCTGGCTGCCGCTATGCCTAGAAAGACTACGGTAAAATCTGAACATCTAGTTTGCAGTGAATGTGCAGCGCCTCTCCCAGATGGATTAAGGAAAAAGATGTGCAGTCAGTGTACCGCAAATTCTTTGGAAAGAGATAAGCAAAAAGATATGCAGTCTTTCCTAACCTGGTTCCAAGAAAATCTGGCCCAGACATTGGAGACGATTAAGGAGCCTAAAAAGGTGGAATCCCCGATAGAACAAAGGATCAAGAAAAGGTGGTCGCTGTCTACATCTGAAAGCTCATCTGGGGAATATATTTCATTGATTCAGGATCCTCTTCAAGTGAACCGGTTGGTTTTCCTTCAGATGAAATTTGAAAATTTATAAAGGAAGTAAACCTAACAATCCTACCTCAGGATACAAAGCCTGGTCGATCTCATTTTTAGGGAATGGAGAAACCCTGAAAAACGTGCCTTTACTTCCAGACACTTCAAGGATATCTTCAGACTGGCTGGCGAAGTTATTTGGGAAGATCTCCCAAAAGTAGATGTTCAGGTCGTGCAGATTGCTAAAAGGACCACTATCCCTATAGGGGAAACTTCAGCTTTGAAGAATCCAATGGATAAAAGAGCCGAAACCTCTTGTAGACGAGCTTACCAGACAGCCGGTTTCCAATGCAGGGCTTTACTGGCAGGAGCAGCTGTTGCCAGAGCAAATGATATCTGGCTAAATACGATACAGGATTTTTTTTTTTGTCTGACCAGGTTTAAGAATTAAAACCTCTTGTTTCAGAAAATGCATTTGGCTAATGAATACCTTTTGGATATGTCAGTAGAAGTTCTAAAATTGGCATCCAGAATTATGGGACTATCCTCGGTAGCAAGACGGGCCTTATGGTTAAGGTCTTGGACAGCAGATTCAGTCTCTAAATCAGTCCTTTGCGAGCTTCCACTAGAAAAAACAAAATTATTTAGGGCTCCCTTAGAATAAATCATTAGGCAAATGTCAGAAACCAAGAAGGCGCTTCCTCAGGATAAGTTCTCCTGGAGATCAGGATACAGAAATTGTCAGAATAAAAACAGAAGATCCTATCGAGAGGCCGCAATTTTTTCAAAGAAGGGATAAAAATCGTAGATTCGAACAAAGGGGTGACATTAAAAGAACCTTCAGAGATAGAGACGTTTCTGACACCAGAAGTGTAGGAGGAAGGCTCCAACAATATTTTCCTGCATGGGAAAACACCACAAAGAATCCTTGGGTTCTAAATCTGATCCAAATGGGACACAAGATAGTATTTACAGAAAAGCAAAAAACAAAGTTTCTGGTATCCACATACCAGTCTGCAAATAAATCACAAGCCCTATTTTGTCAAACCATGCTGCTGTTACAAAAGAGTGATAGAGTACCAGTAAAACAAACATTTCGGGGAGTCTATTCAAGATTATTTCTGGTGCCAAAACCAGACCACTCGTTTTGACTCATTCTGGACCTAGAGTACATAAACCAACTTATCCCCTATCACAGATTTTTTATATGGAGTCAATCACTTCGATTTTTTTATTTTTTTACAAAGAGGCGACTTTATGGTAAAAATAGATTTAAAGAATGCTTATCTACATGTTCCAATCGCTACCGCTTCAAGAAAATTTCTAAGATTTGCTATAAAAAAAGGAAGATCCACCGTTCATTTCCAGTTCAGGGCTCTGCCGTTTGGTCTGTCTTCCGCCCCAAGGATATTTACAAAGATCCTTACTCCTCTAACAGCTCTTTTGAGGGAATTGGGTATTTCAATCATCCCTTATTTGGACGACTGGCTCCTCATTGCACATACAGAACAACAGCTGCACAAGGACCTGCAGGTCACTTTAAGGTTTCTTTAAAACCATGGCTGGATCTTAAAACGAAAAACTCAGTACTCATCCCCACGAGAGAGGGAGTTTCTCGGATTCACGATCAATTCAGTCTACGTGTAAATTTTTCTTCCCAAACGAAAAAGGAGGAAAATCCGAGAAGAGATTTCCAATCTCCAAAGGATGGAAACTTGTTCCTTCAGACAGGCCATGGGTGTTTTGGATCTTGTAATTGCCACCTTTCCAGCTGTCAAATTGGCAAGGTCGGAGGTCAGGCCGTTGCAATGGAATATCCTCACTACCTGGTCAAAAAAGGAGGAAGATTTAGACAAAATTTTCATGTTAACCCTTTCAGGAGGATTATCCTTTCGACCAAAGGATTGGATGATAGTCACTACAGACGCTTCAAGCTCAGGTTGGTAAGCTCACTTAGGATTCACCATGTTCCAAGGAAGATGGTCATTAGGGGAGGCAAAAGAATCCGCAAATTTCAGAGACTTGTTAGCAGTACTTTACGCACTACTTCACCTCAGGCCTTGGATACTACAAAAAGCAGTGTTGATACAATTGGACAATCGGACAGTAGTCTCATATCAATCGCCAAGGAGGAACCAAAGTAAGGAAACCTTTTGGTCTTTGTGCAGAAATTATGGAATAGTCACAAAAAAACTTGGAAGATATCAAAGCAGTTCACATAAGAGGCAGCGACAATATAATAGCCGACGATCTGAGCAGAGGGAAGCGGGACCAAAAAAGAATGGTCCTTGAACCCGGAAATCTTCAGATACCTGACAAAGATTTGGTCTTCCAGAAGTAGACTTGATGGCAAGAGCCTCAAACAAAAATGTTCACAATTTCGCCTCCCTATGCAGAACAGATCAACCCAATTTGATAGATGCTTTATCAATAGAGTGGAACTTCCGACTGGCTTATGTTTTTCCACCTCGGTCCTTCTCAAGATAAGAACAGACAGAGCGAGAGTATTGGCGATAATCCCATAAAGGAAATGGCCATCAATTATTGGGAACTTCCAAGATCAAATCTACTTATTGTGAACCGGGACCTGCCCTTGAAAGTCCTAGAAACTTTCAGGTTGACAGCTTGGCTACTGCAAGGCTAATCCTTCAAAACCAAGGTTTACAAGAAGACCGAACAGCAATCTTACTCCACGCTACTAGAAAATCTACATCTAGGATTTACTTTAGGATTTGGTCTAAGTTTCTACACTGGGGTAAGGAACACCAGTGCCCAGTTTTGCATCCATCTATAGATAACATTCTCCATTTTTTACAAGATGAGTTTTCAGCTGGGCTGAGTGTCTCCAGAGTCAAGGTGCAAGTATCGGCCT